GTATGTGTTGTCAACATGTTGCATACGCCAATATCAACAAAGGAATGCAGCATACTTACCGTTGATTTGTGTAGGTGTGAGTTGGAATTACATACATACATACATACAATTATGTATAGATGTAAGTATATATGCGAGTATGGTCCACAGTATGCGCAGCCATCATCTGGACTTATTTGTATAGCAGAAAAATAAATATTGACTATTTTATTTGTTATTTCAACAATTTTGTTGACACAGCGACGCGCTGGACCGTAGAACAAATACGTAACGTGCCGTATTGTGAGACAAAAACAAAAGCAAAAGATCTGCGGCGACAGTTGACAGCCACTAGCCGCTAGTCACCAGCCACCAGCCACCCACTATCATCTCCGCATCAATAGCAAGGGCGCTGTAGCAATGACAGCTGCAATATTTCTTTTTCAAATATTAAATTTTCTTCTATATGTACAATATAAAATTTGAAATTTTTTTTTGCTAGCTTACGCGCACCTATATACATGCATATTTCAAATATTAAATTATTCGTCTATGTAAATTTGCTACCGTAGGTATTTGCAATCAATGGATTTTTTTGTTTTCAGCTTCGGCATTATTTATTTAATGCTTGTCATAAAATTCCACTAAAAAACACTACAAAAGTATCAAAGGTACTCTCATGGGCACGAAACATGTATGTGTGTAAAAATTTAACATAATTTTTTTTATAATATTTTTTTTTTTTATAACACATAAATGAGGCTTTGACGGCAAGAGTAGCCTAACTGGAATTTCAAAAAAAGATGAGGAGCACCTTAAAATGCATTACTAGGGTACAAGGTGCAATGAACTTTTTATTAAAAGACCGCATTGAACTTTTAAGTTTACAAATCCTTCTTTCTCATATTACTCAAAAAATTTATTTTGCGGATAGGCTCCTCTGGCCCTCATATATATTAATATCAACTAATTTTGCAAATTTCAGCAGTCACACTAATTGGGGAAAATAGTCTGTGCTGGCAATAGCATCTAAGGCCGCACTAACAGTGGTTGCGAGTTCGAACGAAAGTTCAATTGTGCAAATATATACAAAATTTACTGCGGGTAATTCGTTACAGCAGTTTGATGGATTTAAAACACAAAATATTTTCAAGGAAAGGAAGGTGAATTAATTGGAAAACAGTAGCCACGTAAAACAAAGTTTCATTGAAAATGAAAATGAAGCCTCAGATGAGAACCCCTTGATTACGCCATGTATTTACCTGCAATGTCCGGACCACTAATGGGAAAGGGACCGCTGCACCGGTTCATTGAGCTCCTCAAGAAGAATAGACTGACATCAAGAAATCCAGAAAATGCGATGCGAAATACGTCAAAATCGAAGGATAAGAATAAAAAGAGTATTGAGTTCTATTTTTTCAAGGAAAATTATCGCAATTTTTTTTTATTTTTTTTTTTTTGCTTAAAAAATAATCTTTGTTTCTAAGTTTTATTTTTGGCTCCTAAAACGAAAGTTATTTTTTAAGTTGTACAGCCAATTTCAGAAAAAGCAAAAAAGTGAAAAAGTGATTTTATTTTTTTTTTCATTCTACATGGAAATTGACAGAAAATAAAAACCATTTTCCATTTAAGTTGCTGGTGAAACCGACTATTAAAAAATACAACTTAAATTATTGATTTTTTAATTTTTTTCTTAGAAAGTAAAAGTAATCTCGGGTGTTTTCTTTAACAAGCGGTAGGGAGCTAAAAATCGTCATTACGACGAAGACGCACAAGAAAGCGAACATGCATAAGTAGGCGATCGTAGAAAACGAACACAAAGACGAATAGAAACGTAGACGAAGTTGAAAGTGAGGACGACGACGAAAACGAAGGCGAAGACCAATACGCATATAGCGAAGAAGACGTAAGACATATGTATGAAATGAAAACGAATACAAAGACCGAGACCGAGACCGAAAGTAATGCGAGTGATTACGAAAACGAAGATGGAAAAGAGAATGATCAGGAAGCTGAAGGCGAGGATAGCTACGTATGAACACTATTGAAAACAAACGCGAACACGAAGTTGATTGCGAAGATAAACACGAAAACGACGACTACCATTACAATTAACATTACCATAACGATTAGTTCTAACATTCCCGTTGCCACTATTATTACCATTATCATTACCTTTACCATTACTACTACTATTTCCAGTGCCTATTATCTTACAATTACTGCTCATTACCATTAACATAACATTTACCATTACCATTACCATTACTATTGCCATTACCATTACCAATACCTTACCATTACCACTGCCGTTACCATTACAACTACATTTATGCATTCCATTGTCATTACAACCATTATCTTTATCTTTACTTGCTTTTTTATCTTTAGCATTTGCATGACAAAAAAATACCCAAAAATTAAGCTTTACTTTCTAAGCAAAAATAAAACTCAGATAATAATAATGGTAATTTTCCAAGCAATAAAAGAACTCAGAAAATAACGGACATTTTCTGAGGAATAAATAAAACTAAAAATAAAACGGTTATTTTCTTAGCAATCAATAGAACTCGACGTGGAGTATTAACCCATTATGTAACCGTTTATTTGTCACTTTATTTTGCTCAACTTATACAAGGCGAATTGGTATAAAGTGGTGTTGTTTGATCAGCTGTGAGTAGCATTTGATTGTCAAAATTTTGTATTTCGCTAGTGAGTGAGTGAAAACGTGAGAGTGTTTGTATTTTCTGTCGCTCTTTTTCATTCGGGGAAGAATAGCTAAAATTTGAAAATGGCCCGCTAAAAGCAAAGACAAAATACCAGCATTTGTTGTATTTGTTGAATCGATGAATTCGCCTTGGCTCACATACATACATACAAGAATATAGCGCAATGATACTCGCACATCGACATAAATTGAAAAGGTTTAATTGTTAAAAAATAAAAATAAAAATCAAACTCGGTTGCGAAGACAACCGTTATTTTTACAAAATATGTAGTTAGTCAAACCATTTTGGAATACTGCTTTGAATTCGTTTAGCCTGAATAAAGAGTAAGCAACTTCACGGAAAGAAATCAAGAGAATGTTTGGCCTTTCGAGCAAACGGTACATCAGTATGTAGTGTAAAAGTTTATATGAAGAAGCAAGAGCAAAAAAAGACTTAGTGATTGTTATTCATCCACAGTTTTACAAGAAAGTTTTTTAAGCGTTGTAATTATTTTTGCCTTAAGCTTCTTTTTAACACACGTTGTTTTTATTTTGTTTGCACCCTTTCGCGCAGCTATTTATTGAAATGTTTTTGAAGCGCAGATATCTTGTACTTTAAAACTTTTAAAAGCACTTGCTCTTTTTTTATACGGTACTTTTGCACGTCTATTTAGTTTCGATTAATAAAGATATCGTTCGCTAACTAATATAATGGCCTAACTCAATAAAGTGAGAAATGCGAAAAAAACGTATCATCAGTTTTTTAGATATACGATTTTCCACTTGAACGAGGAAAATAATAGCAGCAAAAATATAACAAACGTAATACTCTGACAATGATTTGGTTTCTTGCTTTGGCAAATTAATTATTTTCTATTTCCAATATTGTTTATTAGCAATGTAAGGAAGAATTTAGTTCCAAAATTCTCATCTAATTGACGAATTCTTAACGCAATATAAATTATTAAGTATGGCAGTCGTTTTTGCACAATAAGCTCAATAAAACATCTTCTGCATTATAACGTTTTTGCAGCAGTCGAGCGATATATACAATACATCATACATCATATGCGCTTGTAAGCCTAAAGCAGATATAAAAACTCTAGAATTATGATGCCGAGAACTTTTCTATGCTTAAGTTTTCCATTAAAGACAAGGTGTTGTTCTTTATAAAATCATTTTCACCTGTATTTTTTGTTACCACATATTTACATATGTATGTATTCATTGTTTAGCCAGCTTTTCAAATCATTTCAATTAAAGTTAAATGGATATTTTCCTCACAGAGGAAGCCTCCCATTTATTTTGCCACTACCACCGGGTTCTGCGTTGAATACTTTCAGGGCTGGAGCGTTTGTGTACACGTGTCTGCGGTATTTGCCAAAGCGGAAGGTAGGTAAATCTTCCACGCAATCTTTGTTACGAAAATGGAACTGTTTCTATAGCTTCTTTAATAAGTGTCTCAAAGACTTTTTGTTCTTCATTTTAGTGGGTGCATTCATATACGAATTCGTATTCCTTTCATGTTCGTATTCATTTAGTCGTCTTCGGATCCTATGCGTATTATTACTATTTATATTAGTCATCGTATTCACCTCCGTATTCGTTGTCGTATCCTTGTTCGCATTCATCTTCGTCGTTGTTTTCGTATTTATCTCCGCATTCGTTTTCGAATTCGTATCATTTCTGCAATTGTATTGGTTTTCGGAATCATCTTATTTATACTCTTCACCGTATTCTTCTTCCTACTAATGCTGCTCTTTGGGTGCGTCTCGTATTCGAATTCTTCTTGGTCTTCATCTTCATCTTGTGTGATGAACTACGCTGGCATATTCGTATTTGTCTTCGTCTTCATATTTGTATTCGTCTTCGTATATTCTTCGTATTCGTCCTCCTTCTCCCTTTTATGGTAGAAATCGTCTTCCTACTCGATCTTTCATTCTCATATTCGTATTTTTGATGAAATATACCTTCGTACTTGTCTTAGTCTTCGTATTCGCCTTCCTTCTCGCATTCGTGTTCGTAATCGTTTTCCTACTCGTCCTTGCATTATTGTTCAACTTTATATTCGTCTTCCTACTCGTGTTTCTAACTGTCTTCGTATTCGTGTTCGTCTTAGTCGTCATATAGGTCTTGGTGTTCAAAAACAAAAAAAATAATCGCAATAAAACTCGAAAATAATACGCCGTAAGCATATCAAGTACAATTCCAATTAAAGAACTTGCAACAAAAACTACACATAAACGCGGACATCTTTATACGGCGATTGATGCCTTAATTTTCAGTCTATATTGAAGCCAAAAAAAAACTTTCATCATCTACATAATCGGTCCAGTAGAACCGATGATACACGGAGGCGGACCAAATTTATGTTATATGTATACTGAGGACGATTATGAATGTACCCTTGCGGCCAGCTGATTATGTCAAGTCACATTTTGACTAGTTTTGGCTATTTGTCTTTTGTTTATTTAATGTTTATATTTTTTTAAAGCCAATTACTTTACCTAACCAACGCCACAAAAATTCACATTTCAAACTTCGTAAAAAACATTAAGAAAATTCAACAAACTTTAACGTTTGCACCCGAAAATTTTAAACTTTCTGTTCAGAATTTTTAGAAAAATTTTTGTAGCTCATTAAATTTTAAAGTGCAAATTTCAAGACGTCAGAAAATCGCTTTGATTTTTAATATTTTTTTGGCTTGTTTTTAATAATTTTTTTGTTGATTTATGTGGTGCTGGTTAAGTAAAGTGCTAGACTTTTATAAAAAAAAATATAAACACTAAGTAAACTAGAGAAAAATAGCCAAAACAAGTCAAAATGTCACTTGACTTAATCAGCTGATCACCCGCAAATGCCAACAATTGTACATTCTTATACAAAGTTGTTCTTATTCTCTCATTTAATATGTTTTTAGGTTCAAAAAAAAAAAAAAATTTCTAATTTCTGCCATGGTTGACACGTTCTGCTGTTAAAATTTTATCGGGTGCTATTTAGCTTTAGAAATTACTGCTATCAATGTCAACCTTCCATAACCGGTAGAAAGATGGAAGTCACCGAAATCCGGAAATGACTACACAGATGTCAGTTAAGTAGCTCAAAACTTTTTCTCTAATGATAGTTGGGGCAATTTCGACACACTGTCCTGTTGGAAGAATTGAACCAACTTGCGACTGTAGCTATTTTAAAGCATCATTTGTCACCACTGCTTTTTCTTAGTAGACATGTGTGTTACACTTTTATATTCCAATAGATACCATACAAGTGCTACTTTGGTTGCGGTAAGCAATTGAAAACCGAAGCTATTTCTCGATGAAGAAAAGTTATGGGCAACAAAACTTGTACGCGCTTTTATATAGCGCAGATATATGGACGATGTCGACCAATGCTGAAGAGATTTTGCGTGTTTTGAAGAGAGCTCTCTGGTCCTGTCCGCGTGGGCGACAGGCACAGAATAAGATGGAATTATCAATTATATTGACCACATATATAGTGTGTATATGATATGTGAAGCTGGTATGTTTATAGCTAGTCTACTTCTAATACGTACACTTATGAAACATAGAACCGATTAATGCAATTTAATTTATTTAATAAATCGTACCAGCATTTCTAAAAATATTCTGCTTTATTGGCTTATTTTCCAATTTCTTCAACAACTATTATTTCATTTTTTTCCCATTGCTACCTCACAAATCNGTCAACGGCATTGCGTTGCAGTAGCGTAACGGTGCAGCCACCGAAGCCACCGCCAGTCATACGTGATCCCAAAACACCAGAACAATTAATGGCCGCATCGACCAGGACATCCAATTCACGGCAGGATACTTCGAAATCGTCACGTAGTGATGTATGTGACTCTTTCATTAGTGCGCCCATCTGGTAATGACGTTTATAGTGGTGGTGACGTAGGCGTCGACAGCGGCGGCGAAGGCACGTAGATTTCAGCAAAGCGATGTTATTGTAAGTAGAGCGTAGAGAAAAGCAATAGCATTCCAAATGAAAGCAACAGCAGCATTTAATAGCGCGTCGTTGTGCGAACACGTAGTAGACATCCATGGCGTATGAGTTACCGGAAGAGCGATACATGAAAAGAAATAAAAACAATGGAAAAAATGGGTGGATAGTTAAGTATAAAACTGTGTACGTTCGTAAATGCATTCAAGTGCGTGTTGCTATAGGGAAAAGTTAAAATTAAATTACCTACTTATTTGCCGGCATATAGGGTGATTATAAATAGCTTATGAATATTATTTACTTAGAAATTAGTTACAATACCAAAACCGCTATTAGAGTTAGAAACTCAGTTATATATACATATCTTGTTTTGAGTAAAGTCGTTGAAATTAAATGCATTTTATTTCCAATTCGATTTTGATTTCGGCGGCTATAAATAAATGGCCATGTTTTTTAACATGGATTTCTTGTATAATATAAAATAGTTTTCTCTTTTGCGCAAAGTCTTAAAATTTCCCTGATTTCATTCTTATGAGCTTTTAAGAGATAGTACATAAATTTAGCAGCTAATATCAGACAAATACAAAACATAAAATAGATCCTCGCTACGCCTTTGCAGTTACCATTGGTGGTTCTAGTGATGTTTTAAACTTCTGTAGAATTTTTAATATTGCATTTTTTCCACATTCATTTCGAAGAAACTTTATTAATAGTCTCATTTGAGTTAATCTAACTTTACACGCAAAAATTTTTATTGAAATTTTATTGGAATACCAAAATAACAGCGAAGCGATTGACCATAACTGCTTTGTTAGTGATCAAACCTCTGCCAATTAATTCGAACTAAACTATTTTTTCGATATTCCTTTTTTTCAATTAAATTCGTGCCAATTCACGGGAAGTGGTATTCAATGTGTTTTATACCCTTCAAGCCACACTGGCTTATCGGTGGCCGTACTACCTCAACTCACAAACTATCTTCGAAAACATGTAGTACTAAAAATGTTCATAGTCACTAAGGAACAGATTTTCGTGTTTTCTAAAAAATGGGAAATTTTGAGTTAATCACTTCTAAATAACGAGTGCTATATACATGTATGCATCTATTTGCATATGTATATTTTTATGTTTAAAGAACATATTTAAACTACAGCAGGGGTATACATACATACATATGTATGTCCATATTTATAGTAGGTGCTTACATACATAGTACATATGTACATATGTATGTATGTACATTTTTTTCTGCGCACTTTTTTCTGATCGAACGCCATGAACGAATATTTGATAGTTATGAAGCATTCCAACTGTAGTTATGGCTAAGAAGACAACCATCAAATCAAACGTTCCTATTATGGTCCCAATTGAAGCTAGTTACGTTGGTATTGAGCAATTGTAGGGTTGGTTATTACACACTGGTCCAACACACACGCATTTCAAAAACGGTTTGTGAAGCTGCTAAACTGCAGCAAAATAGCAAGCAATAATACTCCTAGCAACCAAGAGCGAAAAAAAACTGAAAAGCAAAAGAAGCAATTCGTAAATGGGGCATTCCTTTGCAAATCGTTTAATTACTACTTACTTAAGTAACCCTTACTACTTACTTTGGTTAGGAATATAGAAGGATTAGAGATATTAGCCCGTTTAAACAGGATTAAGGGGTGTTTTAGTTGTGTTGTTATGCTAGAGGACCATCGATATTTACATATGTATAAATGGAGCGTGCCACTGAAGCAACTTAATGAATAAAATGCCGCAAATTTGCCAAAATTTATGAAAATGTACCAAATGAATACACGCCAATTTGTTCAAAAATCCTGTCAACGCTAGTTTGAAAAAAACGTGAAGTTGAACACTTCAACCTCAACAAGTTGCCATTTGAACTTACATACACATTTTTATTTTCCAAAAATCCCTAAATATAACGTATTTATACAAATTTGTCCTTTTCTTCCCTGCACTAACTTAATTCACTTTAAATCTCTACGGATGGGGGATTTTCCGTAAATGTATCAACACTGGCGTAAGCCGCGTAATTCTGGAAAGATCACTAGAAAAATAAGATCTAAGAGCGTTTTGAAAACTTAGCTCGCTTTCAAAAGATAAATCTATTCAAAATATAGTTCTTTCAGTGTATTTTTCAATTAAATGTTTGTCGCCAAAATAGCACTTAAGTCGATCTTAACAATATGTTGGAGAAGCAGTACTCGTACCTCAGTCCTATAAGCATCATTTGAGGTCTGATCTGAAATTATTGAATTGAAATGTTGCTAAAAATTCACCATTTATGCATGCACATCGGCATCTGAAATACATCAACCAACAGCTACCAAGCGAATCGAATGAACAAGATGAACTGTATCATCAGCTTGTAATTCCTTTTTAGATGATATAAACTGCTAGTTATTTAATTTGCTTTTTATTAAATGGTGGTTGCATTTATATAAATTTAATATGAAGAACTGTTTACAAGATGAAACTTAAAAAAATATCAAATATTACTCAAAGTAGCTAGTAATAAGTACTTCGTTTTTTATCAAAATTATTACCGCGAATACCTTTTGAAAGCGAGTGAACTTTGCATTACCTTCCCCAGCAGAAAAATTTGTTGCACAGTGATATCCAAATAAGTTTGTTAAGCTTAAAAGTAAAGATGTATTGTCAACGATTTTCCGTCGTCCCTTGTCCAAGTTTGTTTGGTGGCAAACCGGTTTTAAGCAGTCCGCCCGATTTTATAAAGAATAGCTCATATGTAAAAGTAACAAGTGTCGATTATGAGGACGAGAGATAGAAATATCATTTATAATATATACATACATCTGTACGTGCATACATTGGAGCATACTCGTATGTGTATAGCTAATATGTATCAATTTTCTGCGCTAAATTTTCACGTCTTTCAAACGGAAACGGAAATTTGCTTCTACCTATTATTGCTACACATTGACGGCTGTCAGCCGTATCTCTTATTGCATACAGAAGGGTAGAAATTTATACATATATCCACATACATACATACGTATTATATATGGATACAAATAAAAATGTGCGTTCACTGAGAATTAAGTTTTAAGCAGGGATCACACGAAATGTACATTTGCACCGATTTGTACATTTTCACAATTACACAGTGGTGTTGTTTGGATAGTTGTTATTGAGCTGAATTCATTCTCGATAAAAATTTCTAGAAAACATCACTCTGTGACTGCCAAATGTACTACAAATGTACATATCGTGTGATCCCTGCTTTAGTTGTAGATGCCTATGTATATGAGGGTAGATATTAACCGACAGCCAATTTGTTAACCGAGGACCAGCTTGTTTGAAAGATGTAATAACTGCACAGACACGGTGCGTGTGTTGGCCGAAACGTTTGAAATCGTAATCACGGAAACTCTTATTAATTTTATATTGCCACATATCGGTTTGGATTGAAACTTAGAAAGATAGAGCTTTTTCACCCGAGCTCATCGAGTGGGAGCCGTGCAGGTATTGTGCAAGCGTTAAGCTTTATATGATCTGCAGACAGTGCACACCTTTTGGCCACTAAATTGTTCCTGCATCGAGTGACGTTAGCGTATACCTAACTTTAGTCTGTTCACGCTAACACTAGTGCTTACTATTAACTGCATATTTTATTCGAAAAAAGCTAAGCACCTTTGTAGGCCGATGGCCGCAAAAAAGTCGGACCTGGATACCTCTGCATTACACGCCAACTTAGCTGTAACTAACTACTTTTGGACATAAAGTATCGACAAAAAACATGTTGTTAATTTTTTTACATTTGTATTCATTTAATTTACATTCAATATTGCATACTTGTTTATTGGTTTACATATTCTGCAGTAGGTGGTCCTATATCCGAAAAAGTTAACTGTAAGTTGGTTATTTTTAACAATTCTTAATTTTTCACTGCAAAGGTGTTAGCGGGTTACGCACCGATCACACATAGCAGTGGAAATCACTTAAATTGGTGCTTTATATGGTATATCTTCCATATCACTGATTATTTAGATATGATTTGTCTATATGTGTAACCCGAGGACAGCACTGCTCGTACTTGTTTTTAAATTAAGTACAAAATTAGTTGACAGAAAATGCATATCAAAGGTAAGGTCTTTAAGAGAGCTTTAATGCAAAACAATTTTTGATGGAAAAATATAAATTGATGAGATCTTATATAGTTAAAGTAAAAAAAACCAAGTTCGGGCGGAGTCGAACATTAGATACCCGGCGCAATTAAGAAATATAGTTTTTTTCACATTTCCGAAAACTAGCGCTACGTGGTAAGAAGAGGGGGGTTTTATCGCTATTTCGAACATCTTCGATAAACTTATATCACGCCCATTTTCCAAAATTCGATAATAATGTTACTTTTTTTCTAGGGACTGTTGTTAGTATCAATATTGTGTATCGTCCTTAAATTTCGAAATATCTAAGTTTCAAGCATTTCTGTAATTTACCGTCATATAAAAATTTCAATAATTTTCAGCGTTTTGCTTTTATGTGGCAAGCACAATAATCATACCGAGTTTGGTAAAAATTGATGGAACGATTACCGAGATACACATTTGTAGTCATAAGTGGGCGGATCCACCTATTTTCCAAAATTTTCTTAATAATATTTTTTACAAAAATTCTACTTAACATACTAATTTTCAACAATTTGCATCCAATATTTACTGAAATATCATAGTTCTGGGATTTTTCGAAAGTACCTTTATATGGGAAATGGACGTGCTTACTGTCCGATTTTGTCCATTCTCAATACCAAGTTACTTTGGATAAAGGGCCACCTACATACCAAATTTTTTCTTGATTTTTTTTAACTTAGTATATTTTCATAACACTGCATGACAACAAGTAAGAACGACATTACGGTACCTTTTTTTGTAATGATGTATTTTGAGTTGTTCTGT